AATTGCGAAGAATGTATGGCCCAGCTTCTAATCGCAATTGCGATGAAAGCCTCGCAAATGCGGAATCTGCAGGGTTCGCAATTGCGATGCCAAATCTTGCAAATGCAAGATCAGAGGCCTGCAACAAGTTCAGTCATACCAGCAAAATTTCCTAAGTTCCAAAACACCCCGTACCCTATCCGAAACTCACCGAGCCCCCGGGGCTCCAAACCAAACACGCACACAGGTTTTAAAACTTCATACGAACTTCCTCGTGCGACCAAATCGCCAAAATAACAACTAAAACTACAGATTTAACACCAAAACACATGAAATTCTTAATAACACTTTGAAATTCCTATTTTCAGAACCGGACGCCCGAATCACTTTAAGTCAACTCCGTTTTCCACCAAATTTCACATACATGACATAAATATTATATTGAACCTATACCGGGCTCCGGAACCAAAATACGGGCCCGATACCAATGAGATCAAACATTAATCAAATTCTTTAAACCATTAGATTTTCAGTCTTACAATTTTCATCAAAAATTCATTACTCGAGCTAGGGACCTCCGAATCCGATTCCGGGCATATGCTCAGGTCCCATATTTTATTACGGACCCGCGAGGACCGTCAAAACACGAGTCCGGATCCATTACCGAAGTTAACTAAATCAACTTTTAAAGGCAAAAATTATTATTTTTCTCAAATTTTCACATCAAGGCTTTCCGAAAACACGTCCGAACTGCTCACACAAATCGAGGAGAGATAAAATGAGGTTTTGTAGACCTCGGAACACAGAATCGATTTCTGAAACATAAGATGACCCTTTGGGTCATCACAATTTCCAAAACCCAAATCCCAAAACTAGCTCTAGAGTTGGTTTTGGCCTAAAATATTACTATTACATTTTTTAAAAATTGCCCTAAACTTTTGTATTTTATAAAAGAGCCCATAATTTATTATTTTGTAACAATACTGCTTCAGGTCATCTGATAGTATGTTATGTGGTTCATTATAAGAATGATAATTTGTACCAAATTTATTTATGTTCATGACTATGGTTTGCGATAATATAATGAAAGTTATTGATGAAGGTACTGTTGGGTATTTGTGATAATTTTTAGAACTTGTGGGTATAAGTTATGTTTCATGTTTTTTCAAAAAAAAAACAGTGAAATATGTGTTTGAAAACTGATGTCCAAACACATTTTCATCTTCAAACCAAACTTCACCCAAATTAGATTTTTCAAAACGAATTTGAGAATCTATGGCCAAACGCTAGCTAAGAGAGAGAATTTTCACGACCTAACTCAGGGCACACATTGTCTAATTTGGGCCTAGGTACAAATATATTTGTCTTTCAGGTCACGTCGAACCCCAAAAGTAGATTCTGAATTTGTATTGTGCCTTATAAAGTTCTTCATTTTCCTCTTACATTCTGATGTGGAATTCGTCTAAGGTGACATGTGCACCTCTTCTACAGAAGCTTGCCAGAACGTGATCCACCCTCATCTGCCCGCTTCCTTCATGGATGTCATAGAATTCCAATACGATGTTCTTTTTTAAACCTTTCGATACTTAGTATTTATTGATTCGTTTAATTCAATATTGTGACATAAAATTTTACTATGCATTTGATTCACGAGAGGAATTACAATATTTCTAAACTTGAAGATGAAACCTCTGATTAAAAATAAAAAACAAATTTATCGCAATACTTGATGGCATTCCTATATAATGGTGGATGTCCATGCACATGCAAAAGTGCACTTAGGGCCCTTCTGATTGGCTTGTAAGGAAGAATTAGTCATGATATAAAATTGGCTAGTTGGGAGAATTAATTATTTGTATAAAAAGAATTTTATACATTGTTTGGTTTTTATTTTTATTTTTCTCATAGAATATTACATTTTTAAATTATGCGATAATTTATGTATTATTTTATGTATGATAGAATGCGTTATAAGAATATGGTTATGTATTATTCTGGAGTTTTTCGCGTGTTGGAATTCCAGCATAATATGCTGAAAGTTCATAAACAGGTGCACCGATCTTCGGTATATTATGATGGAACTTTCCGTGTTGCAGCAAATAGTGGCTATTTTTCAATGACTTTGAAAATGCTGGTTATTTTTTAATGACCAGAAAACTAGTTAGCCCATGCTATGTTTACTTTTTAATTAGCTTAAGCCCATTAACAAAGATTAAAAATCAAGTGTGGCGATGATGAGCCTTGTATATACATTATCATAAAAACTAAAAATTATGCAGGATGAACCTTTTTAAATCACTACTTATGTTTTGATCTTACTAAGAATTTTTTTTTAAAAATAGTCCAGCATCAGAATTTTTAAATACGCTCGCCAAGAATTTGAAGCACTTGCCAGTTGAAGCAATCGATATTTGTGCAAATTTCTAATGGCCACCATAACTGCTGCATGCTTTAAAGTTCCGGTGATCGAGAAAAATCCAGGTAAAAAACTTTAAAATTTTAGTATTTTTTTTCAAACTTCTGTTATTGGTACAAAAAAGTAACAGTGACACCAAATTGTCTTATTTATGTCATTCAAGTTGCTCATATCTAGTGTTACATCGATTCTATTAGTATATAATATGTGCCTTTTACATGAGCCTTTTACTAATATCAAGCTCAAGGAAGATAAAGTTTGTGAGGCTTGTGCAAGGCGGAAGCAGGTAAGATCCTCTTTTAAATGCAAGAAAATGGTAAGCACCACCAGGACGATGAACTGGTCCATATGGATCTTTGTGGTCCAATGAGAACATTAAGCAGAGGTGGTAAGAGATATGTGATGGTGCTTGTTGATGATTATTCTAGGTTTACTTGGACGTTGTTTTTAACGTCTAAGATGAAGCATTTGACATGTTTACTTCGTTTTTTTAGAAAAAACTCAGAAACAGCTAGGTAATCAACTTGCATCAATTAGGTCTGATCATGACACTGAATTTGAGAATGCTAAAATTTGCTAAAGTTTGTGATGAGCATGGCATAAATCATAATTTTTCTACTCCTAGGACTCCGCAACAAAATGGAGTAGTTGAAAGAAATAATAGGACACTTGAAGATATGGCTAGGACTATGATGATGAAGGAATTGGACTGGTAAGAGACTCAAATGAAAACACGGCCCAGACTGAAGCTGCACCAGAGGAAGGAATAAGTGATGGAACAGGTTCTTCTACCCAGGGGAACTTGACTAGGGGAACTGAACAAAGAGGAACTAATCCTCAAACTCAAGGGAACCTGTCCATGAACCTGTTCCTCAGCAACAAAATATTGAAGGAACATCTAGGGGAACCAGCTGGTTGGGAAACCTTACAAATACCAAAGTTCTCATCCCATTGAGAACATAATTACTGTCCCAACCTCTGGAATCTAAACAAGATCTTCTTTGAAGAATCTTTGTGCTTTTGATGCTTTTCAATCTCTTATTGAACCCAAAAACAATGCTGAGGCCTTGCAGGATGCAGACTGGGTGAATGCAATGCAAGATGAACTCAACCAGTTTGAGAGAAGTCAAGTTTGGCATCTGGTTCCAAGACTCAAGGATAGATCAGTAATAGGCACAAAATGAGTCTTCAAAAACAAACTTGATGAAGATGGAACAGTTACAACGAACAAGGCAGATTGGTGGTTCAAGGATAAAGTCAAGAGGAGGGCATAGACTATGATGAGACCTTTGCTCCTGTTGCAAGATTGGAAGCAATTAGACTCCTTATAGCCTTTGCTGCTTACATGGAATTCACTCTCCATCATATGGATGTCAAGAGTGCCTTTCTCAATGACTATCTAAAGGAAGAAGTGTTTGTTAAGCAACCTCCGGGCTTTGAAATCAAGGAATGTCCTGATCATGTGTACAAGCTTGACAAGGCACTTTACGATCTCAAGCAGGCTCCAAGAGCATGTTATGAAAGATTATCAAAGTTTTTGCTTGAGCATGGCTACAAGAGAGGTAAAATTGACAACAGTTTATTCTTAAAGAAAAAAGGTAAAGATCTCTTGGTAGTCAGATATATGTCGAAATCTTTGGAGCAACTACTGATAAGCTAAGTAAAGAATTTGCTAAACTAATTGGGAGTGAATCTGAAATGAGTATGATGGGCGAGCTTAAATTCTTTTTAGGCTTACAGATTAAACAAAATTCAAATGGGACTATGATCCATCAGCAGAAGTATGTAAAAAAGTTGCTTAAAAGATTTAAAATGGAAGATTTCAAAGAAATTGACACTCCTATAGCAACAGCCATAAAATTGGATGTAGATGAACCTGGTTCATCTGTTGATCAGAAGTTGTATAGGGGAATGATTGGCTCTTTATTATATCTCACTTCTAGTAGACCTGACATTGTCTTCAGTGTAGGCCTTTATGCTAGATTTTAGGCAAATCCAAAGGAGTCTCACTTGACTAATGTCAAGAGCATATTGAGATACCTAAAAGGCACCACTAACCTTTGTTTATGGTATCCAAAGGGTAGTAATTTTAACCTAGTGGGATATGCTGATGCTGATTATGCAGGTTTTCTTGTGGATAGAAAAAGCATTTCAGGTATGACACACTTTCTTGGCTCATGTTTTCTGTCTTGGGCCACAAAAAAGCAAAATTATATGGCCTTATCTACTGCTGAAACTGAGTATGTTGGTGATGCTTCATGTTTTGCTCAATTATTGTGGATCAAACAATAATTAATGGACTTTGGAATTGATTTTTGTTGTATCCCTATTTTTTGTGAGAACACTAGTGCAATTAGTATCACTAAAAAAAAAAAAGGGACTATTTGCGGGGGTTTATTTGGGGAGGTTGGTATTAACACCCGCAAATTGTATTAAATTGCTGGGGTCAATTAAGCCGCCGAAAATTATCTTGTAATTGCGGCGTCAAGACCTCCGCTAAATAAAAATAAAGAGCCCTAAAATTTTCCCACGTTATTTTTCTAGTTTCCCTCATTTTTTTCCCAAACCCTTTTTCTATTCTTTTTCTCTTTTAATTGCGGCGGTCAAGACCTCCACTAAATGAAAATAAAGAGCGCTAAAATTTTCCCACGTTATTTTTCTAGTTTCCCTCATTTTTTTCCCCAAACCCTTTCTCCATTCTTTCTCTCTCACTCCCCCAATCTGAAGGAAAACAAAAGAGACATTGTTCCCCAAACCCTTTCCCACGTCTCAAAAAATTAGCAGTGGAACTTCAATCACTGCTAATATTATTTACCATTGTTCAAGTAATCTGTTCTATTGGCTTTGTTATTAATTTTATTCAGGTAATTTCTCTTATTTGAAGAGTGGAGCACCCATGGATATATGGATTCTAGCTTGGAATTTTCAGATTTAAACTTATAATTTTTTCCGTTTCCCTCATTTTCCCAACTCCTTTTACTCATTCTCTGGTTTTGTGTAATTTCTCAGATGTATTGCCATTTGCTTCAGTCAGAGTAATTTCTCCGCACAGGTATTGTTATATTTGCTTAAAGGTCTTTCTTTTGTCTTGCATATTCGATTTTTACTACGAATTGAGTGTGTGACTGAAAGTATTTTGGTTTCTAAATATATGTATGCTTTTGTTAGGTATGACTGAAATTTTTTCCTTCTTTTCTCGTTCTTAGTAGCTTGAAATTTGGGGTTAAAATTAATTTTTTAAGACACTTTACAGTAGTGCCTTCACCACCCTCTGTTGCAGCAGCAACTGCACTTGGATCAACACCTTCGTCACCAATTTCTACAACAGTGTCGATAAGCTGCCGATAGATATTCTGTATCTCTTCAACCAGTGCATGATTAACCTGCAATAGATTACTAATTATTGTTAGTACACTGTAGGTACAAAACCCAAAAATTGACAGTATTTTTAGATTTGGGGTTAAAAAGCAACAGTAGCTTTGTGTGAATATTGTTCATTGTCTGGTAAGTGAGAAATAATTACTGTTATTAACATTGTTTAATTTTTAAAATGTGCCTTTGTGAAAGAGGATGCTTTTCTTTAATTATTATATATGACAATACTTATGAACTTATGAGGTGTGGTTTTCTGCCCTTGAGTATTACTTTTAAATTAAGTTGAAAAATCATAGACAAATTAATTTCTGTTAAAAAAGCATATAATTTAGGAATATTTAAAACCTAACAACAGAAACTATCAAGTTGCCCCACTCTAATTTGATTTACTGACAGGTTGCAAAACTATTCTTATTTTTATCGAACTCTCTTGCGCAAAAGAATCCTCATTGACAATTGCACTTTTTGAAAATTTTAGATCAATTTGTACTTTCTAATGGACAAGTCTTGGATTGGAATGCCAAGAACCTCAACGGAGTATTTGCTTGGTTTGAATCGATTTCTAGATTTTGCGTTTACGAATGGAGCTATAAGAGATAAAATAAAATGTCCTTGACCGAAATGTAGTTTTGGAAAGTGGCAGACAAAAGGTATAGTGCTTGATCATTTGATTTGCAAGCCATTTTCTCAAAATTATGTCACTTGGGTTCTTCACGGGGAAATAAATGTGTTGCAGAATTCTGGGAACGTAGAGGTCACTCAAGATGCACCACCTCCTAAAATTCCTATAGAATTGCTGATTAATGAAGCATTTCGGGGCATAGGGCATGAGGGCGTTGATGTAGGTCCATCACAAGTAGTGGAAGAAGAAGAAATATTAAATGATATTCCCGCTTCAAATAATAAAGACTTTTTTGAATTGCTTAGAGATGGAGGTCAAGAACTATATGAAGGGTCTAAGTACTCAAAGCTAGAATTCTTGTTAAAATTATATCACATAAAGTGCTTGTCAGGGCTAAGTGACAAGGGGATGACTATGATACTAGACCTTCTAAGAATGCATTTAACTTTGCAAAGATCCCTGATTCTTTCTATGAAGCCAAGAATACCATCAACAAGCTTTGTCTTGATTATGTCAAGATAGATGCTTGTCCAAATGACTGCATGTTATATTGGGAAGATGATGCTAATGAGAAAACATACAAGTATTGTCACACTTCTAGATGGAAGCTTAACGAGAAGAGCAACAACAATCAGGTGTCCACTATTGGTAAGAGGAAAGAGAAGAATAAGAAGAAAGAAAAGAAACCAGCCAAATTTTGCGTTACTTTCCATTAAAACCAAGACTACAAAGATTGTTCATGTGCTCTAAGACTGCCGAGCTTATGAGATGGCATGTGGAGGATAATAACAAAGATGGAATCATGAGACATCCTAGAGATGGTGAGGCATGGAAGAGGTTTGATATAATTTTTCCTGAATTTTCTTCTGATCCACGAAATGTTCGATTGGGACTAGCTAGTGATGGTTTTAATCTTTTTGGGACGATGAGTACTAATTATAGCATTTGGCCAGTGGTTTTGGTTCCGTATAATCTTCCACCTTGGCTGTGTATGAAACAACCAAATTTTATCCTATCAATGATCATTCCAGGTCCGCGTACAGCAGGAAATAATATAGATGTATACCTACAACCCCTTATTAAAGAGTTGAATGAGTTATAGTGTGAAGGTGTGGAAACTTTTGATTCATCAAAGAATGAAACATTTAGAATGCGAGCAGCCCTTATGTGGACAGTTAGTGACTTTGCTGGACTTGATATCTTATCTGGTTGCAACACACATACTAGTTTTGCATGTCGCTCTTGTAATTTTGACACAGGACCTTGTCGACTTCGTCATAGTAGGAAGTGGTGCTTTACGAGTCATCGTCGGTTTTTGTCAAGATATCATAAATTTAGATTGATGAGGCATCGTTTTTATGGTAATGTGGAGGAGAGGATCCCGCCAAGAAAGTTATTTGGTTTTGATATTTTGCAACAAGTGAAAGAAATTGATGTTACATTTGGAAGACCTGCGGTGTTGAATGATAGAAGGAAAAGAAATAGACAAAGGAATGTTGGGCAAAGTGCAACTCTGCAATGGAGAAAAAAAAGCATATTCTTTGATCTTCCATATTGGGAATTCAACTCATTGCGCCATAACTTAGATGTTATGCACATCGAAAAAAATGTGTTTGACAATATTATATATTCTTTGCTAAATGATAAAGATTAATCAAAGGATCATGTTAAGGCTAGAAAAGATCTACAAGATATGGGCATAAGGCTTGATCTTTGGCCTGATGAGAATGAGGAATGTCGGCTTGCTGCTTTTGCTATTCCAAAGGAGAAGAAATTTCTTTCCTCAAAAATTTAAAGAATGTCTCAGCGCCAGATGGTTACTCAAGTAATATTTCTTGTTGTATTGATTTAGATCAAAAGAGGATCTTTGGATTAAAAAGCCATGATTGCCACATCATTATAGAACAATTGTTACCCATAGCAATTCGAAATGTGCTTCCAAATCATCTTGTTGCGGTCTTGGTAGAGCTTTCTTCCTTTTTTAGACACCTTTGTCAGAAAAGCTTAAGCCTTTCGGACCTCGAAAAGATACAAGATCGGATTGTACTCACACTTTGCCACCTAGAGATGTTGTTCCTCCATCTTTTTTTTACTGTAATGGCTCATCTAATTGTCCATTTAGTGGATGAAGTAATACAAGGTGGTCCAGTACATTATCGGTGGATGTATTTTATGGAAGGTTAAATTACTCATTTATTCATAAAATTCTTTGAATTGTTCTTTTAATAGTAATTCAAAGTTAACACTTATTCTAATACTATTACATTTTGGTTATAGACTATTAGGTCATTTCAAGTCTCTTGTAGGGAATAAAGCACAACCAGAAGGCTCCATAGCTGAAGGTTACATAGTTGAAGAAGCTTTAACTCTCTTTTCCCGCTATTTTGAGGATATTGAATCAAGGGTAAATAGGCCTAAACGTTTAAATGATGTACCAAATCATATTGAGCCTTCTGATATGTCATCTATGTTCCCTCGTCAAGGCAAACCAATTGGAGGATTCACCGTATTCCGCTTGACTCCTTTGGAGAAGACTCAAGCTCATCGATATGTGTTACTTAACTGTGATGCTGTGAAGCCATATATTGAGTAAGAAATTTTAATTGATTAGATTATTGACAAAGGCTTTAGAGTGAAGCGATTAAAATTAATACATTTAAATCCTTTTTAGTGAATTTAGGGAGCACATAAGAAGGAGTTCAAGAGGCCGAAAGCCTTCAGTAACAGAGATAGAGAGGAGAGTTAATAGGGAGTTCCCTGATTGGTTTCCAAAGCGAGTAAGTGTATTGTAGTATATTGTTTGTCTATGTATAGCTCTCTTCCTTGAATTTTAAATATTGACACAAATAGTTTTGCTTATTTAGATTATGAATCCGGACATAGCAGACACGATCTCTGTTGACATGCAATTCTTAGCACGAGGTCCAATGCCAGATGGAAGGAGGTTCACTGCTTATAACATTAATGGATTCAACTTTCGGACTTAGTCTAGAGAACAAGGATTGAAAACTCAAAATAGTGGAGTTTTTCTTACCTCTGACACTTCTTGTATTGCATCTAATGCTGATAGAAATGCAAGACAAGCAGACTTGCCATATTATGAAAAGCTAGAAGGTATAATTGAGCTTAATTATTATGGCCGATTCACGGTTGTACTCTTCAAGTGCCAATGGGCGGACACTACTCGAGATAGAGGGTTCAAAAGAGACGTTTGGAATGTTAACTGTGTCAATTTTTCAAGATTGATTCATATTGGTGATCGTGAGGATCATGATCCTTATATTGAAGCATCTCAAGCAAATATGGTATACTATGTTGATGATGATACTGACGAAGGATAGAGTGTGGCCGTACATCTAAAGCCAAGAGATTTGTTTGACATGGAAATGGCGGATGAAGAAGAAATATACGAGAATGAACCATTCCAACAACAAGAATTTGAACAGATTTTTGATGTTAATTATGAGAATATCCAAGTTTCAACAGAGGAGCATATGCCTAAATAGGATTCAGCTTTTCTAGTTTCTATGGTACATTTCTTGTGTTGAGCATTTTAACATTTTGTTGTTACGTAAAAACCTGTGAATTGAAGATTTAAAGATGGTTATATATATCTGAACAGTGTTATGATTGGTTTAATATTTCTCTGTTTTGTATTTCTTTGATAAAGATATTTTAAAATTTCTTTGTGGCCCCAGTTGTTCATGTCACAGAACATGTGACCTCGTCAGTTCATGCTGCAGCACAGCCGGATCCGTCCGTACAGACTACAACACAATCAACTCCATCAGTTCAAGCTGCATCACAAGGCGTGGTGCATGTGAGTCTACGTCGCATTGGACAGTAGATGCGATAAGTAAACTTTTCTTGCTTGGTTTCATCTCTATTTCAAACTGCTGAATCTTCTTTTAATGTTTCTTTATTAAAATTGGTTACTATTTTAACCTTCCTTTTTTGTATTCACGTTGTTTTTGGTATTTTATAGAACTGTTGGTGCAAGTTTATTTGTAGCAGCAGATGTTCAATTGGAGTAGTTCAAGAAAATAAGTGAAAGAAACAATATGACTACATGATTCATATTATTAAAAAGAAAAATATTGTAATACTCTTTTCAACTTGTTTTAACTTTTCTAGTTACTAAATGCTTTGAGATTTCACGAAATATAAGAGAATGTTAGTTCTGCTTGGTTTAACTTAGTGTTTATTTTTAAAGATTCACAAGGAGTTAGCAAGAGACTCAAAATAAAGGTTAAGGATGTTATCAATCTGTCTAGTGGAAATTGTATCGTGGTTGAATTTGATGATATGGATCAACCAATTGGAGAAGGACAAGGCGTTCTTGCAGGCTTTTGTGAAAAATTAGCTACTGATTGCTCCTTATTTCCAATCAACTTTGATAAATGACCAGATTTACCCGAGTCATGCTTCAACCGTTGCTTTGATCAAATTATAAAGGTATAAGACGTATGTTATCATGACTAAAACTCTATTTTACGTCTTTGACTGTGTATTTGCATGTTACAGATAAGCTATGTATAAATACATAAGCTATGTTAAATACGTAATCCCTAATATCAACTTTGAGCAAGTGTGTCACGACCCAAATTCCCACTCTGGTCGTGATGGCGCCTCTCACGAAGACAAGGCCAGCCAACTAACCCATATCGCCTTTTCAAAATTAGTTAAACATGAATAAGCAGTCTAAATATGATTTAATAATATTTATAAGCGGAAGTACAACCCAACACAACCCTAATCGGGGTGTCACAAGTCACGAGCATCTATAAGAGTGTAAATACAACTACAAGGTCTAAAAATACACTGAACAGGAATAATGAACAACAGAGAGAGAAGCGTTGTTGCAAATGCTGGCAGTCACTTCGCTAAACTCCTATAGCTCTGCCTCCAATCAGCCAAAATCCGTTACCGGGTGAATAAATACCTGTATCTGCACACGAGGTGCAGGGAGTAAAGTGAGTACTCCAACTCAGTGAGTAATAAAGGTAAATAACAACTGAGCAGTAAGAAATCACGTAAGGCATATTATCATGCTGTATAGAAGCACTATAAAACCCTTTGAGAAAAAGCAGTGAAGTTGTGAAATTTTTAGAAAACATCTTAGCTTAGTTCAAACCTCTTTTGAAAATGTCTTTTTCAACAGTTATGCAAATGAATGCAAAACAATTAGTGCAGATAAGCACAGAAATTCGCCCCTCGGGCACAACACTAAATTTTTAGATAATGGCAGGCGATCAGGTAGGTATTGCATGAAGTAGCACAGACAACAGATAATGGCTGACAAATGAAATAAAGTAAACACATAGAACAGTACCAGTACCGCTGCGGCGTGCAACCCGATCCATATATCGTCGACGTCGCTCACAGGGGGTGTGCAGACTCCGGGAGGGGCCCCTTACGGCCCAAGCGCAATATCAAGCCATCTCGTGGCGTACATATCTCAGGCCCTCGGCCTCATAATCAAATCAGTATCTCACTGCTGCGGTGTGCAGCCCGATACAAAAGTATCCTGCTGCGGTGTGCAGCCCGATACAAAAGTATCCTCACAATACAGGCCCTCGGCCTTACTCAGTCAAAAATCACATAAGCCACTAGGGCAACAGTAAAACATGATGCTCATCCCAAATACTATTGGAAACATCATTTCAAGTGTTAAAGCAAAATAAACTTGGCTGAGTCTTAAAAACAATGGAAAATACATGACTAAGTTCAAGTATAAAATCAAAACAGTGAGGAAATATCAACAACAATCCCCGAAGGGTTCAAATAGCTGGCACGAAGCCCAAGTATGGCAATTAGCCTAAATTATGATGATAACAAGTAAATTTCAGTCAAATAAGCAATAAATTCATCAATCGGGACGGACCAAGTCACAATCCCCAACGGTGCTCTACCCCACGCTCGCTATCCGGCGTGCAAGTCACCTCAATATAGCACTACGATGTGCAAATACGGGGTTTCAAACCCTCAGGATATCATTTACAGTCATTGCTCACCTCGAACCGGCGAAATCTCTAGCTCGCGACGCCTTTGCCCCTCAAATCGGCATCCATGCACGTCGAATCTATCCACAATCAGAGCGAATACGTCACAATATGCTAAAGGAACAAAACCCAATCGAAAACAATCGAAAAATATCAAAAATCCCGAAATTAGCAAAACCCGAGCCTCGGGCCCAATTCTCGAAACTCAAAAATTTTCACATCATTAGATTCCTTATCTCCCCACGAGTTCATACATATCAAAAACACAAGAATCGAAGTTCAATTGACCCCTCAAATCCCCAATTTAGACTCTCTTAATCTCAAGCCCTAAACCTCTATTTTTAGTCCAAAAATTTCTTAATTTTCAGTCCTAATTCATGAAATATCACCATAGAATTGTGTTTTGAGGTTCAAAACCCTTACCTTATCGAAGCTCCTTGAAATCCCTCTTCAAAATCGCCCAAAAATCTCCAAGTCCGAAGTTAAATGAATAAACCCTTCAAAAATCGCGAAGAAGAACCTTTTATACATTCTGCCCAGGGGGTTTCGCATCTGCGACCCCTCCACCGCATTTGCGGTCACAAGTCCGCTTCTGTGGAAATTCATTAAAGGCCCAAATCTGCATCTGCGGTCCACTAGCCGCATATGCGGCTTCGCAGGTGCGGGCACCCCACCGCATCTGCGTTCTCAACCTTTTTCTCCCAAAACCGCTTCTGCGGTCAAATGGTCGCATCTGCGACTCCGCAGGTGCGGTCCCCATACCGCATCTGCGGTTCCTGACTCTCCTTCCTAAAACCGCATCTGCGCCTTTCCTTCCTCATCTGCGACACCGCACCTGCGGTCCCCAAGCCGCAGGTGCGAAAACACCAGAAGCAGCAAAGAAATCTGCAATCACTCAAGTACCAAAACTTCCCGTTAGCCATCTGAAATTACCCCGAGGTCCCCGGGACCTCAAACAAAAGCACCAACAGCTCCTAAAACATTATCCAAACTTGTTCCAATCACCAAAACACCTCAAACAACACCAAACTATCAAATTACATCGAATTCAAGCCTAAGTTTTCTAAAACTTTTCGAAACACGCATTTGATCAAAAACCCAACCGAATCATCTCCGAATGACCTGAAATTTTACACACACATCCCAAATCACATAACGAAGCTACAGCAACTCTCGGAATTCCATTCTGACCCTCCGATCAAAATCTCACCTATCAACCGGATTTCGCCAAAATACTAACTTCGCCAATTCAAGCCTAATTCTACACCGGGCCTCCAAAACCAATTTCGATCACACTTTTAAGTCATAAATCACCCCACGAAGCTAACCAAATCATAAAAATTTCGATCCGAGCTCATATACCAATAAGTCAACTCTTGGTCAAACCTTTCAAATTCAAAGCTTTCAACTGAGACTGTTCTTTCAAATTCATACCGATTTCCGTGAAAACCAAAACCAACGATCTACGTCAGGCATAACACATTGCACGGGGAACGTCATGCCCGAGAACTAGCGATCAAAGTGCAAAAGCTCAAAACGACCGGTCGGGTCGTTACTTCCTCCCCCACTTAAACACACGTTCGTCCTCGAACGTACTCAAAGTTGTTTTAAAAGCCAACCAATAGCTGAATAACCTTACCATGCATATACCCGGGGGTGATCCCACGTCAGCCTATCTCGTATAGGTCCGAATACATGTAGTAGCTGAAATTACACAATCCAATTTAGCCCATAAATCATAGAACCACATTTCCACTACCGATATCATCCACAAGACCAAAATCTCACTTCTATACTCTGAATAAGTCCGAACCAGCTGTAATAACCGATACCTGCAACCTCGGGTGCAATTACATGATAAACCACATAACTTTAACGTTCGTAGCAATAATTTCTATTCACAGCAACTGTACACAACACCCAAATACCGATAGAAAAACTCTCATCAATTAAGTCTCATTCAACACTTTCATATACTGCCAACGATCAATGAAACACGCAATAAACCATAACCATTTCTCAGATCAACCATTCATGAAGCCGCTTCTCCTCTGGCAATACCATAGCAAATTTCCGAGCCGAACCTCGATCTTACCCTTCCGGCATGCTGAAATCGAATCCGTTCGTATTCCTTAATGATCCCAACGATCTCCTCTAATCCAACACACCACTCTGGTGACATGACACGTCAATAGAGGCCTAAGCCACAACTAGCATAATACGCGCACCAATATGCAACAGTCCGAACACACTCAAATCATGAAAATGGTTCAAATGAAAGAGCTGTACCGCACGCTCACCAGTACCACCACAACACAAGGTTGAGAACCCGTCTCACATCATAGAATAGAACACCCGAATCTAACCCGCAAGGTCATATCTCCACATAGCCTCGCTGCAATGTACGATCCTATCCAAACACTGCTCCACATGAGGCACCTCAAGTTACTATGCCCGAAATTGACAACCACGCACAATTTGATGTCTGGAACCAAAGAAAAACATTACACCCTCGGTGAAATAAGTAACATATACCACGCAAACCTGATAGGACATAACCGATACGCCATTCACCGAGCAACGCCCAATTACTTTTCCCACTCGACTTCCACTATGAACCCCAATAGAACCGCACCATATGTGCCCATAACCAACAAATCATAACGTCTCATAATACAGAAAGGAAACTCATAGATCTCCCAGATCACTAGTAATCTCAACAACGGACGGATCAACCTACCCCTCAACAACACAATTCGGGGCCAACCAAGCCGACTTCAAGCTAGAACACGCATCCACATTGGCCTGCCAACGAACTCCTTGCCAAGGAAGCCTGAAGCTGCTCCTTCCACTACCATAACTCCTGGCAGAGCCATACGATATGGTGCCCGACACCAAATAAATACCGAAATCCACAACCTCGCCCGACGACATGCCCGGCCACAAGAAACACATCCGAAAAGTCCCTCAACACCGGAACTGAATCAATATAAGGAGCCTCAACACTGACACTCATCACAAGAGCCCAAGTAAGAAAGACAATCCTTCCTAGCTGTCCGCTGGGTCTTTGAAATATAACCCACTCTACTAGAACATAATCCAACGCACCTCACCACTTAACCCGTGGCATTTCCGGCATAGCCCATAGCGTAATAGTCCAGAATAGCCCAACACTGAGACAACCAGTCTGAACTCCAACA